ATAAATAAAAGGGACTCATTCAAGAAAAGCAACCCAACAATAAATAGAAGCTACCAGGCTAAGTTTACAGCCAAGACTCCTGATGGTGATTGCAGTAGAACTGAATTCAGAATTAGTCCAATAAGTAGCTCCATACTTAAAATAATCTCAATAGTGCTGTATTTAAGAACGTGTGCGCAGAACTTCTTAGAGTCTATGTATTTCAGCCTTAACATTTTAAAAAGTGCTTCATTATGAATAGATTGAGAGGAAGAGGACAGGGAAAAAAGTCAGGGCTGGACCAGAGGTGGTATTTAGCAGGTTCTGACCAGTTCTGGAGAACCGGTAGAGGAAATTTTGAGTAGTTTGGAGAACCGGCAAATACCACCTCTGACTGGCCCTGCCCCCATCTATTCTCTGCCTGCCGAGTCCCAGCTGATCAGAGAATGGAGCTGGAAAACAGGTTAGTGGGGTGGGGAGGGAATGGGATTTTGCAGTATCCTTCCCCTGCCATGCCCACCAAGCCATGCCCACCAAGCCACACCCACAGAACCAGTAGTAAAAAAAAAACTTGAATCCCACCACTGGGCTGGACGAAATTGGTAAGTCCCTGAAAAACAGAGATGGGCCATTTAAAGCAGCGGTCGCCAACTGGTGGGCCGTGAGAAAATTTTGGTGGGCGCAGAGAAATCTCACCCCCACAAAGCAATTAATCCAGGCTGCACAGAAACACAAGGCTATGCCGCTCACATGGACCGCGGGAACCCTCCCTACCCACTCACTCCTTACCCAGTAAGCTTGCCTGCTAAATTGCTATTTTTCCTTTTTCCGACCATCATCTGTTCTGCTGTGCCGGGAGATTTAGATCAGCTAGGAAGCAGGAAATAGTTGGATTTCTTGCTTTCTAGCTCATCTTTAAATCTTCGGCTCACAGCGCAGACTCATGGCAAGCAAATTTGAGAGACTGAGCTAGCCAATGGCAGATAGATAAATCACTGAATGATTCTGTGAGCAACTCAATCTGCCTGCTTTGCCTGATTTTGGGTAAAAGTTGCTCTTTTTTTAAATAAAAAATTCAATATTTACATGCATGGTATGTTATGAGTTAATTTTGTGAGTTTGCTTGCTAGCAAATTTTATGAGTTTGCCAATGGCAGATAGATAGATCTCTGAATGAATCCGTGATTCTGTGAGCAACTCAATCTGCCTGCCTGCTTTGCCTGATTTTGGGTAAAAGTTGCTCTTTTTATTAAAAAAAATCAATATTTACATAAATATAATATTTACATACAAGCCTTGCCCAGCCAGTCACATGACCACCAAGCCACACTCACAAATTAGGCCATGCCCACAGAACCAGTTAGTGGTCCTTGGGATCTAAAATTATGAGTTTGGTGGTCCCTGAGGTCCAAAAGGTTGGCGACCCCTGATTTAAAGAATGAAAGACAAATATATGAAGAGATATATGCATGTGATGAAATCAAGAATATGCTGCAGACATGGAGAAGTAGAATGATCAGTGTATTAAACTATACAATATGTAAATTCCCTTTTTCACTTCTTTTGACTTTTTTTTTTTTTTTTGCTTAGTATTTTCTCCCTATACTCTGTATAATTTTGTCACAAGAAGGAATATAGTCATAGGCATCTCTGTGTGTGTAGGCTTCCTTACAGTTTTCTTTATATGTTTGTATTTTACAGCTTTTTGGAGCACTTGTGTGGATACTAGTAGCTGCTACAAAAGTTCCTTTGCCTCTGCTACAAGGCTGGGTGATGTTCGTATCCGTGACGGCCTGTTTCACCTCCATCTCCTTCCTTTCGGTCTTTCTCTTCAGTTATCGAGAGAGAATTGCCATCGATTGGAACCGTTTGGTAAGCATGCAAAAGGCTGCAAGTTAAAAAAAAAAAAAACCTGGGAAGTCAGAGGCATTTCCAGGAATGACTTTATACTTATCAGAAAACTACAGGGTGATTTATTTGCTTTGGCCTATTGATAGTCCTCAACTTACAACCAGAGCTGGTATTCAGCTAGTTTGGACCGGTCCTGGTGTACCAGCAGCAGAAATTTTGAGTAGTCCAGAGAACTGGCAAATACCACCTCTGGCTGGCCCTGCCCACCCATCCCCACCATTTCCTCTCCTATATTCCCTCTTTTTATTAGCTCAGCTGATTCGTGCAGCAGACCGGATTGCCGCGCCTCAGCTGAGCTAAAAAAACAGCTCACCTCACCAGCGCTGACCCAGAGGGCTGTTTTTGAGTGCTGCAAAGCGTGCTCTCATAGAATCAGTAGGAAAAAATTTGGAATCCCACCACTGATTACCACCATTCATTTAGCAATCTTTTGAAGTTACAACAACACTGGAGAAAAAGTGATTTATGACCGGATTTCGCACTTATGACTATTGCCGCATCCTCATGGTCACATAATCAAAATTCAGACCCTTGGCAACTGGCATGTGTTTAGGAGGGTTGCAGCATCCCAGGGTCACCAGTGGTGACCTTCCCATCTGGCTTTTTGATGAGCAAAGACATTGGGGGAAAGCTGGATTCGTTTAACAAGCATGTGGTTCACTTAACAACTGCAATGATTTGCTTAACAACAGGGCAAGGAAAGTCATAAAATTGGGCACAGTTCATTTAACAACCTCCTGAGTCAAGGCTGACTCAGCCTTTCATCCTTCTGAGATGGGTAAAAATGAAAACCCAGATTGTTGGGGTAAAACCGCTGTAAAACCGCTTAGAGAGTTTAGTTTAGTTTAGTTTAGTTTATTGTCATTGCACTTTGTACAACAAAATCAAACACCATCTTCAGTGCACATCATGACCATGAAAATAAACACAAACACATATCCTTCACACTCCACACATTGAACTGAAATCCCCCAACACCACACCAACACTGCACTATACAGTAGAATTCAATATAGTTACTACCCTGGGATAGAAGCTGTTTTTCAGCCTATTTGTCCTTGTTTTTATTATCCTGTACCGTCTGCCTGATGGTAATAGTTCAAAAAAAGGGGGTGCCCAGGATGAGATGGATCTTTGAGAATGTTTTGAACTTTCTTAAGGCAGCGGGAGCTATAAAGGTCTTCCAAAGAGGAGGGCAACCAAAGAGAGAGGGCAACCAATTATTTTCTGGGCAATGACGTTAACCCTCTGGAGCGCTTTCCTATCTGCCACTGTGCAATTGGCAAACCATACAGAGGTCCAGTATGTTAAAATGCTCTCTATGGTGCAGCAGTAGAAGCAGTTTTCCATTCAGTTGTTGTTTTCTGAGAAGTCTCAGGCAGTATAATCTCTGCTGGGCCCTTTTGACCAGGGCTGCAGTGTGGGAGGGCTGTAAAGCAGTATATAAGTCTAAGTGCTATTGCTGTTGCTTAGCAGTGGAAATTCTGCTCCCAATGGCAATCATTAGTCAAGAACTATACTACTTGTAGAGTGTTATTTAACCCAGCCATTGTGTCATTCAAAACATGATTTATGGCTTAGTGTGATGTCTGAACTCAGCAGTTACAGATTGGCAACCCAAGCCAACTAACTATGGCTCTGTGCAATCGAAGGAGTCAATCAGTGTTTTAAAATCTCTTTGTGATTTCAGCCTGCTTCTCATCTATCAATCTCCTCCAAATGGTTGCACCGCCTGTAAATTAGATACAAGGTTGTCTCAGCCATTCCCCCGGGGTGCACCTTCTCCCATAATGAAGTGGTCCAAATCTCCTGGAAGTTATCCAATCTTGAAAAGTAATATGAGTGGGATGTATGAAATACTCCATCGTGAAACACTCCAAAGGAGTCGAACCATATATTTTGAGACAGAACCGCTTGTAGAACATTTCAGGAATGGTCCAGTCTGACCATTTGCAATCAGACATTCCAACGGTAGAACATTTGGCATTTTCCTAGTTAAGATGATAATTCCATGTCATCAACTGCAGTCCCAGCTCTCCTGGGAGGATGCTATCAGCCATTCCTAGGAAACCAAAGTTATGAATGTTAATACGATTTTTATTATAAGGTGACAGAATCTTGCAAGTGTCAACTCGTAAAGCATTCCTATGCCTGCTTTAGACAAGGGGGCGGAAAGAAATCTGCCGTAAACAAGCGGGCGGAAAGAAATCTGAAGGAGCAGTGTAGCAGTTTAAAACCAGAACATTTATCTTACATTCCAACATTTATCTTACAAAGATTGTAGCTAAGCTACCGCATCTTCTGCCCACAAAAATCCTTAATTGGAGAACGTGATTGATGACACCCAGCCCATGAATGTGCTTCATTGGAGAATCTGATTTATGACACACCCGGGGGGGGGGAGGCAAACAGGCTCACAGGTGACTGTAAATTATGTATGCCACAGTTGGCTTCTTACAGGTTAATGCTAGACATGTTGCTCCTAATAAATCTGTTGGTTTCTTTTAAAACTTGGCTTGAGGCTCGTAATTTAATTAGGGCAATCACTGGAATCCTGACAGCAAGTCTAAATATACTTCTCCCTCCCTCCCTTTATCTTCATGAGAATTAGGGAAGATCATGTGTGAAATGTCTATGGAGATTATCAGTCATCCAGGTCATGATTGTTCCAAAGGTGCTTTTTTCAAGTGGCAACAGGACTTTCTGGTTTTTCTTTGAAGACGTTTCTCTTCTCATCCAAGAAGCTTCTTCAGCTCTGACTGAATTGTGGGGAATGGGAGGATTTATATTCATTGCAGACAGCTGGTCATTTGCATCCTTTTAGAGGGTTGTTGAGGCCACTTGGAGGTTATATTCTGTGACACCGATAAACCTCCAACTGGATTTACTGTATACTTCTTGCAGACAGCTGATTATTTGAATTCTTTTAGGGAGTCGTTGAAACCACTTAGAGGTTTATCGTTCATTAATGTACCAGTCATTAAGTGGATCATCACATGACTGCGCTTGATTTTATTACTTTTTTTGAAGATGTCATTAAGCAAACCCGTTGTCTGCAATGGGCATTTTTTTTTGCCCAAACCAGAAGTAAACACCAGTTTCCGGCAAAAATCATAAATTGTAGTCATGTGACAATAGGGTGCCACAAATAGTCTGGTTGCTGAGTTCCCAAAATGTGATCACATGACCTCAAGGGTGAAGGCAGCCATCATAACTGGTCAAAAGTAGCCTGAGAAGAGATCCATCCATCAAACAGTCACTAAGCCTAAGGTCGTAAGTCAAGAATTACCTGTACTCTTAATAAATGACAGGCTGTTTTGGGTTTTAGAAAACCCATTGACAGAAATGAGTTGTCACTGACCAATATGTTGCTGCTAAGTATTGCAAAATGGGAGGAAAAATCTAGATGGTTGATGAAAGTTAGACTTATTCCTGCATGTTCTGCCTGTACATTTTATCTGAAGTGAAAGTTTTCTTGAAGTACATTTTTTGTGAGTATACAGGAGATCGCAAGTAAGTACTAAAGGAAGGCGAGACTTAAGAATGGCAATTGTAAGGAGCTACCTGAGGAATTAGAGGGACGTGGTGGCTCAGTGGCTAAGATGCTGAGCTTGTCGATCAGAAAGGTTGGCAGTTCGGCGGTTTGAATCCCTAGCACCGTGTAACAGAGTGAGCTCCCGTTACGTGTCCCAGCTTCTGACAACCTAACAGTTCAAAAGCATGTAAAAATACAAGTAGAAAAATAGGGACCATTTTGGTGGGAAGGTAATAGTGTTCCGTGCGCCTTCAGCATTTAGTCATGCCAGCCACATGACCACAGAGACATTTTTGAACAGCGCTGGCTCTTTGGCGTTGTAACGGAGATGAGCACCATCCCCTAGAGCCAGAAATGACTAGCATGTATGTGTGAGGGAAACATTTACCTTTCCACTTGTGACTGTGTAACTGTAACTTTGTCGCTTGTATCCTTATGGTCTATATTGATTGTGTCCTAGTATGATTTGATTGCTTATTGTGCCCTATGACTATTATTAAGTGTTGTACCTTATGATTGACTCTTGACAAATGTATCTTTTCTTTTATGTACATTGAGAGCATTTGCACTAAGACAAATTCCTTGTGTGTCCAATCACACTTGGCCCATAAAGAATTCTAATTCTAATTCTAAATTGCTGAGTATACAGGCCTAAATCCAAAAGAATTCATCGTGCCATAAATCCACAGGATGAGTAATTCCATTAATGTCATTGTGGTTTACTGCTGTGGGTTTTTTTTAATGTTTGTTCATGTATGTGAACTTGTAAAGATGGAAGTTCATGATGATTTACTTGTGTGTTCTCTTGATGCCTTTGTTGTGGATTTTGGCCTTCTTTTGTTTATTCTTTTTGGGGTTGAGTGGAAGGATTGCAAGGGCACCTTTGCTCTGGATAGCTGCAAACTCACAAAATGTGTTAACTTTAATTCTGCCTTTGTTTGCACAGTAAACAAGGAAAGACCCATAGCTCAGTATTAAAGTGAACACTGAAATTTAAAATGACCCTGGTCAGATCAGCTGCGTCATGAGCATTTCAACGTTGGTTTTGTTTTTATTTTTAAATCCACCTGAAAACCCCTAAGTTTGGCATGCATTTATTCCTGACATAATTTTCTCCCGTATACTGAATACAGTAGAGCTGGAAGGGACCTTGGAGGTCTTCTAGTCCAGCTTCCTGCTCAAACAGGAGACCTTAATACCAGTGGTGGCTAACCTTTTTGGGCTCCTGTGCCAAAAATTGTGTGCGTGCTTGCACGCTCGTGCTCGTGGGCCAGCACGCTCGTGCCCCCTCTGCATGCGCACGCAATCCCCGCCCCACCCCCCGCTGCCCCCTTACCTGCGCTGCACCTCACAGCTGATTTTCAGTCGGTTTGAGGCCTTTTTCAGCCCCCCAGAGGCTTGAGAGGAAGGCTTCTGCAGGCTTTACAGGCCGAAAACTAGTCCCGTTTCATCACTTTCAGTATTGTCAGAAAAAACAGGAAGTAATGAAACGGGGCTAGTTTTCAGCCTGCAAAGCCTGCAGAAGCCTTCCTCTCAAGCCTCTGGGAGGCCGAAAAAGGCCTCAAACTGGCTAAAAATAAGCTGTGAGGCGCACGCATGCGCACTGAGGTAAGTTTGTCTGCAGCTCACATGTCTACACAAATGGCTCTGCATGCCACCTGTGGCACGCGTGCCATAGATTCGCCATTATGGCCCTATATCATTTCAGACAAGTGACTGTCTCTTCTTAAAAACCTCCAATGATGAAGCACCCATAACTTTTGAAGGCAAGCTGTTCCACTGGTTAATTGTCCCCATTGTTAGGAAGTTACTGCTTCTCTCCATTAGTTTCCATCCATTGTTTCTTGTCTTGCCTTCTGGTGCTTTGGAGAATCAATTGGCCCAAATTTTGGTATCGATTTTCTGAGGTGTAAAACATTATTGTACATAATTATGTCCAAAGGATACACTGATCTGCAGATTCAACTCATAGATGCCCAAGTTTGATGAAAGAACAAGAGGGTTAGACTAGAGGAGCTCCAATGTTCCTTCCAATTCTGTTATTCACCTAGGAGAATGAGGAAATGCAAATTAAATAGACTTGTATTAAAATTAAAATTGAAAGAATGTTTTTCCTTCTTCCTGGGCTTCATACAAACCATGCTGATCGTTGAATGGTTTGTTAATAGAGCTCTATTCAGAGATGTGACTGGAATTGCTTGAGGGATACAATTTGCTTGAGTTCACAGTCATCATCAGGTATTTACAAGAGAAACAGTAAACCTCTGGAGGAGACTGGCCAACAGTTTTTCTTATGTTCTCTGGCATAAGCACATCATGATTGCTTCCTGGAAAAAAATCAATAGGTCATGGTCCATTTAATTTCCCCCTTGTTGAGAAAAACTCTATTTTTCCCTGCCTTGGCTTTCTTTTTTTTTTTTAAACCAATTAGCAATCAATGAGAGGACAGATCCACTCATTTCATGATGATAAGTTTATTCAAGATAAGACAAAGTTTCTTATGAAGGGCTTTTGGGAATTCTAAGTATACAGGTCCAGGGAGTTTTATAGGCCTGAATAAAAGCAGAATTTGCTCAGATAGTACTTATATGGAAGTCAATTCATTGCAAAGATGATCCAACAGATTGTGATACGTTTAGGGGTACACACCTACATGTAGTACTTATGTGCATGTGTAAGGAACCACGAAGAACACTCCACCACCACTGACCAGGCAAGTCCCTTGTATCTATCTATACAAAGAGCAAACCCAGCACTACTCCCTGTTTAGCACTGATGATGTTACCTAGTTGGGTAATGAAATGTCTGCAAGAAAACAACCAAGCTCAGAGAGCAGCACCAAGGACCCTGAGCTAAAAATATTTTCTTCTGATGGTACTTATGTGTACATACATGGATCAATGAAGATCAGAGGAGATTGTGCTTCCACTGTAGCCCTGTTCCCCCAAGCCCTGTGCGTTAGGCCATTCAATAAGAAACTGAAGATCTGAATGTCCTCTCAGGCATTTGGTCTGGGAGAGTTAGTGAGCCATGCTGGTGTATTTCTTGTTTTAGTCTTCATGGATTGAAAATGGAATGTTTTTAGACTCAATAATATGTTTTATTTGTTATTGTTTCAGATTAGTATTTTCTCTTTTTTTTTATTTGGGATTTTAATCCTCTGTTCCCTGCCTAAAGTCTCTTTTGTGCAATGGGCTGTTAAACCAATAAAGTGTCCTTATTTACATAATGTATAGTTCTATAAATTATATAAATAAAGAAATTTTATTAGTTTTGATTTGTTTTTATGGATAGGGTCCTATCCTGTCATTCAAAATAGCAAGAACTCGCCACTTAAATAAAGTCCTTGTTTCATCTATTTATTTATCTATATCGCACCTTTATTATTTTTATAAATAACTCAAGGCGACGAACGTAACTAGTTCTCCTCAATCCTCCCATTTCCTCCACAACACCAACCCTGTGAGGTGGTTAGGGCTGAGAGAGGGACTGGCTGAAAGTCACCCAGCCACCTTCCATGCTTGAAGTGGGACTAGAACTCACACTCCTAGTGATTAGCCCAAAGTCACCCAGCCAAGTTTCATGCCTAAGATAGGACCTAGCTAAGATTCTGTGCATTTCGGAGAAACCCCAAATCCAACTCCTGGCTAGCCCTTCCCACCCTGCCCCAACCCTCCCAGGAGTCCCCACTCGGCCTGTTTTGGATGCAGGGCATGCGCAGAGGCTCGGGGAGGGTGAAAAACAGGCCTCCTGGAAGTTTGGGAAGGCTGGAAATGGAGCCATTTCTGGCTTCCAGAGAGCCTCCGGATCCCAGGGAGGCTGTTTTCGCCCTCCTGGAGGCTCGAGGGAAGCCTCCGGAGCCCAGGGAGGACAAAAACGCCCCCCCCCCCCCCGCTATGGTGCAGGAGGCTGACTAGGCCACACCCACCATAGCCACACCCACCCAGCCACCGGGCAGAGAACCCTTTGCTAAACGTTTTGAAATCCACCCCTGACTAGAAATCGCAGTCTCCTGGTTTCTAGCCTGGTGCCATAACCTTGAGACCCAAAGTAGCTCTGGTCCCGCTTTAGAAACAAAAACAGCTGGGTGACTTTGGGACAGCCACTTCCTCTTAGCCTCTAGAAGAGGAAGGAGGAAATTGCATGCTACTTCTCAAAATGTTGCCAAAACACCCCTACCTTCTCCAGGAGTTAAGACTAACAAACATACCAGTGGTGGGATTCAAATTTTTTTACTACCAGTTCTGTGGGTGTGGCTTAGTGGGTGTAGTGTGGCTTGGTGGGCGTGGCTTGGTGGGCATGGCAGGGGAAGGATACTGCAAAATCTCCATATCCTCCCCGCTGCAGGGGGAAGGTTACTGCAAAATCCCCATTCCCTCCCCACCCCACTAACCTGCTTTCCAGCTCCGTTCTCCTGTGCAGGGCAACAAAAGAAGACCCAGCCAATCAGCTGGGACTCGGGAGGCGGAGAATAGATGGGGCGGGGCCAGTCAGAGGTGGTATTTGCCAGTTCTCCGAACTACTCAAATTTTCCGCTACTGGTTCTTCAGAACTGGCCAGAACCTGCTGAAAATACCACCTCTGGAACACACCCCCACAGGGCTAGAAATTGGATGGGTAGACTTAAAGAGCTCTTGTTATTTAAAAAAATTGCATCTGCTCTATGCTTGGCCTCAACGGAGTGTCATGTTTTCTTGATTCAGCTTTGGGAACTGCAGGCAAGAAGGGAGAACAGCAGCAGACCCTGAGAGTGATAATATATTACATTATGCATTCCTTTCAGTAAAAATATGCCTCTGTAGTTCAACTGCTTCTGCCCACCTTTGGCCTCCAATGCTAAGCAGGATCATTCCTGGTTAATAGTTGCATAAGAGCAGGACCCCAGGAATGACAGCTCCTGGGTATTGTGTTGTAATCCCAGCCCTGAGGCCAAAAAAACCTCTGCAAATTAATTCTGACTTCGACTTAGAATAACTTTATGGTCACTTTGAATGTACACTAATCTGCATACATTAAAATGAAATTTCATTGCATATTTCTCTCAAAGGGTCAGCACCTCCAATATACACTACATAGACATGACAATTAATTAATTAGCAATAGCACTTAAACTTATATACCACTTTATAGTGCTTTACAGCCCTATCTAAGCAGTTTTACAGAGTCAGCATATTGCCCCCAACAATATTCACCTCAGAAGAATGGAAGGCTGAGCCTGGTGGGATTTGAACTGCCAAATTGCAGGCAGCCGATAGTCAGGAGAAGTGGCCTGCAGTACAACACTCTAACCACTGTGCCACTGAGGCTGTAATTAATACAAAATTATGCATATACCGACCTGTATTATATGACACAAAGAAACAACACAGTCTAGTTTGGATGTATACATATACATGGTTGTTTTTTTCCCTTGAAACATTAACTTCTCATTCTAAGAAGCGTCTTCTCAATACGAATTGAAGAAGCTTCTTGGATGAGAAGGGAACGTTTTCGAGGAAAAAAAACAAGACAGTCCAGCTGCCTTTTGAAAAGCATGTTTGGGACAATGATGACCTTGAGAATCTCCATAGACATTTCAGCCCTTCATTCTATCTTTAACAGAAATTGGAGTCCTCATTTAAATTCTGGCTATTTGATGGACTTCTGTCCATCCTGTAAGTGCAGAAACGAATGGCATGCTCTGGATCCCATTGATTAGATTTAGAATAACTTTATTGTCACTAATCGGCATAGATTAAAATGAAATTTCATTGCATACAGCTCTCAGAGGATCACCACCTCCAATATACACTACAAAAAACATGACTGAATGAATGAATAAATAAATAAATGCAAAATTACGCATATACCCGCTTCTATTACATGACACAGAGAAACGACACAGTCTAGTTCGGATGTATACATGTACATGGCAAGAAAAAAGAATCTTTGTGAGTTTACCAGCTGGATGGCATAGAGAACGAAGCTGTTACAGAATCTGGTAGTCCTGCTAGGAATACTTTGAAACCCTTTTATACATATAAGAATAATGGGTTGACGTGGGACATAATCTATTTTGCACAGCCAATCATTTGATTCCTGCAAACGTTTGTTTGTCTTCTCAATGTTTACTTTTGCATTTTTGCTCCCTCCAGGATTTCCTTTACCACGCAGCCGTCTTTGTCTTCTACTTTGGGACCTTCTTACTGCAAACTGCAACAACATCTTTGCATAGTCACCCCCTTAAGACCACCAGTGTCGCCTCCAACATCACCACCCATGGAGCACTTCTAGATAGCCATGAATATAATTTAAGCATAGCAGCTGCGGTGAGTATCGCTCAGGGATGTTCTATGATCAGCCAAATCTAACTACAGTTAGTCCTCGAATTATGACCATTCATTTAACCATCATCTTCTTTTAATGACCCCATAATCCCTTGCAGGGTGGAGTCTGGGCAACTGATGGAGCTAGCAGAGTGTTTGCTGGCCGGATGCCTTTCCTGTCGCCAGTGCGGAGCTTTGTTCAGCAGATATATTCTCATTGTGTTCAGAGAGAGAAATATCTGCCTCTACCTAGGATTGAACTCCCAGCCTCCTAATTTTGAGACGAGAGTTCCACCTCTAGGCCTCCGCACCACTTCTATGACCATTCATTTAATGACTGAATTATGATAGTCATTTGATGGGACTTCTGCTCCTTTGGCCCATCGCAGTCTATGTGCACGTAAAAAACCCTTTTCACTCCTCTAAAGGAAGACAAATGGACTTCTCTTTCTGCCAGCCCTCAGAGTTTTCTGCAGCTGGTTTCTGGAGTTCGGCATCTGGGCTGCTCCATGCAGTGGGCTTGCAGACTGTGGTCAGTCTTTTTTTTCCTCCCCTGTTCTCAGCTCTGCTTCTCAGCTGGTCTTGCAGCTCCAAGAATTGCAGTTTTCTTGTCCTCGCTGAAGACTGCTTATCTTTGGAGTGGGAGGCATCTCTGCTGCCTTCCTGGCTTGACTCCCGTCTTGACACACCCCACACTCACTTTCAGTTCCCTTTTAAGAGACAAACTCTGCAGTTATGAGGAGGTTGAGGCTGTTTTAACCCTTCTTCCCAGGCAGCACCAAAATTGTGGGTCCCAATATAGGGGATGAGCCCTTCTTCCACGCTGCCTATTACCACCAGCAGGTGAAAGCAGCACTACCAAATAGGAAGAAGGACCATCAGTGTGGCTAGGTGGTGAGCCCTCTAACCGCCATGGTGTAGGCCTTCTTCTGTAGGCTACTATTTTGCAAAAGTGCCCACAGCCTGCTCTTCACATTCTCTTCCTTAGCACCTTAAAGGTTGAGAATTTCTGCTCCAACCACTGCACTGCATTCTCTCTTAAGTATTCATGGTCTTCAGGGTTGCAAATAAGCATGTAGGTAACCAGGATTGTCCCAAAGGTGCTTTTTCAATAGGCAGCTGGACTTTCTGGTTTTTCTTCGCTTCTCATCCAAGAAGCTTCTTCTGCTCCATAAACATTGAATTGTAAGTAATTTGGGGGGTGATTTATCATAACTTTGAAGTTAAGACTTGTCATTAAGTGAGGACTACCTGTAAGACCACCCCCAAAACTACTTAGAACTTAAGGTGTCTATGGAGCTGAAAAAGCTTGGATGAGAAGCGAAACGTCTTCAAAGAAATCCAGAAAGTCTAGTGCCTCTTGGAAAAGCGCCTTTGGGACAACCATGTCCTGGATAACTGAGAATCTCCGCAGACATACCCAGTATTGGCTTTTTTGTCCACCATACAACAAAAGATCATACATCACCCATGTGAGTGCATGCTCCCTCCCCTATGAAGTAAGCCAAATACAAACATTAAGTTTATGAAACGCTGAATGCCAAATGTTTGTTGTGTGAAAATAATAATTTAGGAAACAAACATTAAAGACCAGCGCAAACACCAAACTTTGATACACATTTCATTTTTATTTCTTCTCCTCTTCCACTGCAGATCTTTTCCTTTGTAACAACGGTGTGTTATGGATGCAGCACCACCCTGGCTTTAAGAAGATGGAAATTGTAGCATCGGAAAGAGGCCTACCAGTTCCACTACATCCTAGCTGATTTGGACACCCGCTCAAATCTCAAACAGAGTCCAACTTGTCCATCAAATAGGCGTGGCGTTCAAAAGAATGTTTTGGAACACACCTGTTGTTTTCTAAAGCACTGAGATGTACACACCCAACCCAAGCCATTCATATATACACTTTCAAGAGGGGTGGTGGGAAAAATCTGTGTTTATGTTGAGATTGTCTCGCAGCTGCTATCTCGGTTCAACAGCACCATTTTATTGTCCCCCAAAGTGGGTGTAGTATTAAGAACTAAGGTCTTAGGAACAGAAGGGATTATTATCAGTTTGGGATGCAACAAAACTCCTAGCTTGACAAGAGGCAGACATAGCAATAGTGGCCTTTGTATATATATTTATATTCTTTCTTCAGTGTGAATAAGGTAGAAATTTCTTTTAAAACAAGAACAACTTTCATTCTCAATTTCAGATGAAATCTTTTGTTTTCTTCTCCGCACAATGTTTCTGAAATAACTCCCCACCCAAAGCATTGAGGGGTAAACAGCTCCAAAATATCATCCACTGCTCCACAGAATTTTCTCAGTGACCTACATTTTTCTCCTTCCTTTCTTCCCCAGGTTCTTTCTCCATTGCAATATTTTAAATATGTCAGCTGGGCATGAAAAATATTGTGCTGACGGTTTCTGCTCAGCCCATGTTTTCAGTTGCTAAGTTGATCTTCCCAAGAACATTGCGTCTATTGACTTACAGCCCACCCCTCCGCCTCGTCCCACAGTATTATAATACTATCTTTAGCAGACAATTGAATGTTGGTGCTCTGATGGTTATAGGAGACATAAAAGCTCTTAGCAAATGTGCAATATATTGCATACATGCAATCAAGAAAGACAATGGTAGGCATGATTAATATTGCAATAAAAGGGAAAGGTTTCTCTGTCAGTCTTATCCAACTCTAAGACACTATGAATATCTCTGTTTCTTGGACAAGGGAGCCAGCGTTGCCCAGAGACAATTCCTGGGATCATGTGATCAGCACTTGGCATATACACAGAACTCTTACTTTCCCACCAAAGTGATACCTATTTATCTACTTGCTTTTGCATCTTTCGAAGGAGCTGGAGCAAGTAACGGGAACTCACCCCATTGTGTGGCACACGGGACTTCAACCCAGACTATACTTCGTATTGCTGTACTCTTGGCTGAAACCTGCTTTATGGTCCACCATGCCCAGCTGTCTGATTTCAGTAGGATTGCCATGGGCTGCCAAATTTCAGGATTTAGTTATCCCTCCCTAGCCCCAAAAGATGGCGAGTTTAGTTCTCAGAATCATTCACTAGTACCAGATTGCAACCTTTGAATCTTAGGCTAGACTATAATAGTATTGTTTTTAAGTGAAAGGAATATATTCACTCCTTATTCTTAAATAAAGAAAACATGCACATGGTTTATTTTTAATTCCTAATTCGGGAAAATAAACTAGAATGTTTCTCTTGGATTTTCCATTTTTCCTTATAATTTTGACCTTACCCATTCCTCATGCAAATGTCCCTTGCCACTACCTATCACCTGTTTATCTTTCAAGAATTGCAGCCCTGTGAATAGGGAGATGACCAGAATTCTGGTAATAGAATTCCTGTTTGGGTTGTTAAACCTTACTAGCATTGCACAATAGATTAATACTCCTATACGTTTTATTCTGATACTCATACAAGCCGGGTCACACAAGAATCTTAAACTATCAACAGAAGTGGAACCTTTTGCAAATACTGTATTGTATCTCTATGTTGAAAGAATAATTTGTAGCAGGAAAAATATTTCATGTGTTTAGGTTCTGCTTAACCAGAATCTAGTTGTACATTTGCTAGGAAAAGACGTTTTCATGAAAGATTTTTGTGGCTTTTTAAAAAAAAAAAAAATCTGGGAGCATGCCCGTGAGTGAAATGATAAGCTAATGTCACAATTCATTTTCCATTGGTGTAGTAAACCTTAGAAATATTGTGGTCATGTGTCGAAGTTTATGTGCCTGTATTCAAAGGAAACATATTTTTATCTAAAAATTTGCTAGTGAGGCAAGTTAAAAAAAAATAGATGGACTGCTCACCCTGTGTGTAGTTCACTGATACAAGTTTTGCTTGTACAAATATTAAGAATCTGCAGTCCATTTTTATATCTGGGAAGTAAAAGAGAAAGTGTTCTTCCCTTCCTCCGTCTTTTACTCTAAACCCATATTTTCTAATTTATCATGTAAACTCATTTATTTATCAGCTTTAGATGTAGAAGCCAAAGGCGTCTTGTTTTTATTTTAGCAAAAAAACTAATATTTTAGAATGTCTCCAATGCATTTGTTTCTACTTATGAAAATGTTTGTGCTTAATTGTTCTGGAAATCTCTTGACTTCCTCTGAACTTCAGTGCTTTCACAGTTTTATATTTGAAATTGTATGTTCTGTTTCATTTTTCAAAATTCAGGTTCTGGGGAAAGATCATACAATTAGATTATTGTTTGATACCTCCCATATCCCGTGTTTTGTGTGATATTACTGTAAGTCGCTATCAGGGGTAGAAATCAAACTTGAACCAGAGAAAGAGCACTTAATGGCAGATCAGATTATTTAATAGGATGCATGTTGCTTGCAGTCTGGTTGTGGAAGATTGGTCCAAATTCAAGTCACAAAGTGGTTTTATGTGCTGTTTTTCCTATTGCAAATATATGTCCGCTATTAAAGGGGAATACATTTGACAATTGAAGCTATTGTGTAATTCATGTCCAGTGTCATAAGAGGGCTGTGTCTGCAAAGCAAAATAAAACGTGTTTAGTTAGAAAGAGGTTAGAAGTGCTGCATGAGCAATTCTGCATATAACATTTCAGCAGCCTTACTACTGCCATTGTTATCATAACAAAGGAGGTGTGCAAGAGTTCAAAATCTCGTAAATCTGAGCTCAGCTGTTTTACATCCCTTTATACTTTTATTGGAATTTATCCCTCAAATTGATTGACTACCTTACCGTCCAGAGTAGCTCAGCAAGACATAGAACATAGAATAAGGTCCTGTTTTAGTCCACATGCACAACACACACAAGGGTTTTAAGGAATTTAGTGATAATCAAAGCCCTTAATGTTAATCCCCTAGGTCTCTACTTGTACCCAATGCAAACTCCTATTAAATCCAACACTGCTCAGTCGTTACACAAGATTACCAAGTCCAAAAGCAAAAGTCTGTGAACTCTAAGATAGAAGTCCAAAATCCATGAACAAATCCAGGTTCTAAACACATAGTCAAGCGCAGCACAATCCAGAGTCGAGGAAACCGAAGTCACGAAGGCAAAGCATGCACACAGCAGGAGAATGGGTTGTTTCCTTTTTTTAAAAAAAAAAATAGTTTATAATATAAAATGCAAAAATACAAAAGAAAATAATAGGAAAAATAGGGGAAGTAGAAGGGTATAAAAGAGGGGGGAAAGAAAGAAAAGGCATTGACTTCCAATTCCTTTTGGTGCAGTAGAATAAGATAAGAATCCAATAACCACCTCCTCCATTCATCTGATTAAATAGACTAGGGGTAGTCAACCTTTTTATACCTACCACCCACTTTTGTATCTGTTAGTAAAATTTTCTCTAACTGCCCACCGGTTCCACAGTAATGGTGATTTATAAAGTAGGGGACAAAACCCCTACCACCCACCATGAAAGCTGGAACGCCCACTAGTGGGCGGGAGGGACCAGGTTGACTACCACTGAAATAGACCCTCTGTCGGTATAGCTCATTAGAAGTGAGGCTGCCTCCTCGTGTGTTGCCTTGCTGACCTCTGTTGAGCCTGCCTCTGCTCTGCCCTGCTTGTCTCCAAATACCGTGGATCAGATGGAGGAGGCAACTCCCCCTCATCCCCATTGGCCAGCTGCAGCTATGCACCTACTGCATCCTGTATTTCCAGTGAGGCCCCTGAGCTCTCCGGCTGCAGCTCTGCATCTCCTTTTTCTTTGCCATCCAGCTGTTCATCCGGTCACTCTGGTCAGGCTAGAAGGGACTTTGGAGGTCTTTGAGTCCAATCCCCTCCCTATGGCAGGAGATCCTATATTACTCTGGACTTTGTTTGGTGATCATAGAAGGAAAAACAGAATAATAGGACATAATGCATCCTAGGTCCCATCAGATGGTGTTGTGTAGTTGTGGACAGACTGAGATATTTGGAGACAAGCAACCTCACAAATAATCAAAGCTACCATGGGAAACTTTGTGGATGACCAACCAGCACCTTGAATTTCATCCAAAAACATATCAGGAGGCTGTGATTCACAAGTAGCCGTGTTACATGAGTGCACCAAACTACTCTCATACCTTCATACCAGCACATTCTATGCCAGATGCAGCTTCCAATTAACATTTTTATGTACGAAAAATATAACACTATAACACTCAATGCAATGTCTATGGAGATTCTCAGTCGTTCACATCATGGTTGTTTCAAAGGTTAGAGTTGTGTGCTTTTTTTTTTGAAGATGCGACTGGACTTTCTAATTTTTCTTGGAAGATGCTTCACATCTCATCCAAGAAGCTTCTTCAGCTCTGACTGGATGGTGGGGAATGGAAGGATTTATACTCCTTGCAGACAGCTGGTCATTGGCATTCTTTATAGCAGTGATCCCCAACCTTTTTGACGCCGCGGCCCGGTACCGGCATCAGCTGGACACCGCGGCCCGGTACCGGCATCAGCTGGGCGCCGCCATCTTTTTTTGATGAAAAAGTGCTTCCGGTGAGCTTTCTACCCGGAAAAGCTCACCGGAAGCACTTTTTCATGAAAAAAAAGATGGCGGCGCCCAGCAAGCCGCGGCCCGGTAGGAGTTGTTCCGTGGACCGGTACCGGTCCGCGGACCGGTGGTTGGGGACCCGTGCTTTATAGAGAGTCGTTGAGGCCACCTGGAGGTTTATCTGTGTCCTTGGGGGTCACCTGAGTAGTGCTAATGGCTGTAGAGCCTTTTGGGAACTGTTGAAAGGACTGTGTTGTAGACTGGAGATAGATGATGTTGAGAGAGGGCTGTTCTGTTTTGACACAGATGGCCTCTTTGACCCCTCCTTCAAACCAGCGGTCCTCTCTGTCCAAAATGTGGACTTTGCTGTCTTCAAAAGAGTGGCCTTTGTCTTTTAAATGCAAATGATCTGCTGAATCTTGGGAAGGGGAGCATCTTTGGGACATCGACAGTGCACTGATGATATTAGATAATGAAACGTCTGCAAGAAAACCACCAAGCTCAGAGAGCACCAAGGACCCCTCATTTCAACCCTGAGCTACAAATATTCTCCTTTATTGATGCAGAGTACTGAGGATTGTGAGAACCACAACTATCCGCAAAGGTTGCTGTGAAGCCCAGCATCTACTTCTCCACCAATAGATGGCACTGTAACATTACTTGACATCCTTATTCCATGTAGTAGAGAAGTGGGGGCGGGAGAGAGAAACCAGCATGTGGCCATCCTTGGCTGATATCAGAAGTTAAATAGAGTCAAGTCCTGTTTAGCATCCAGGGCTTTGGCTAGAGTAGAAAGTCATTTTTAAAAAGTAGAAGACAGCAGGAATGTACCATTGCCATACTGCTGCCAAGAAAGCGGTGTGGCGTCAACAACAACCACTAGTCAGGCTTTTCCTGTATCTTGCACAGAGGTGGATTTGTAGCTGTGCAGATGCAGATAGATAAAATTCCACAAAACATCCATAACAAAGTACAGTACATTTATTGGTACATCGGGTATCTTCATAACTCACATTTGTGACAAAGTTCTCCTTTAATGACCAATCCTTTGTATATCGGCCTTGCAGGTGAAAGATGGTTATCTCCTAACTCATCTCGTAGCGGTAGAAAAAGCTACTATCAGTTCATAAGTCCAGGCAAGAATGGAGGGAAACCTCCCCCAACCCCCCGAGGGTCAATTTAGTGACCAATCAGGATTACAGATATGGCCACGTGACATGAACTACATTTCCCAGGATACCTTTAACTACATTTACCATGATGCATTCCCTTAAGGGGACAGCTCATAATTCCTAAGTAACTATCCAATTCCCATAGACTGGCTGGGACAGCACAAGGCTAGACTTGGAGTTGCTTTATTTTACTTTTTATAGAACACTGGGGCAAAGAGGGGAGCTTTTACAGAGCTGGGCAATACTTCGAATTAATCTTTGAATTAAGGAGAAATTTCCTAAGAGTGAGACAATTAATTAGCGAATGGCTTGCCTCCGAAAATTGTGAATGCTCCATCACCAGAGATGGTATTCAGCCAGTTTGGACCGGTTCTGGCGTAGCAGTAGCGGAAATTTTGAGTAGTTCAAAGAACCGGCAAATACCACCTCTGGCTGGCCCTGCCCACCCACCCCCGCCATTTCCTATATTCCCTTGTTTTTTAGCTCAGCTGATTCGTGCAACAGAGTGGATTGCCGCAGCTCAACTGAGCCAAAAAACAGCACAGCTCACCAGCGTTGACCCAGAGAGCGGCCTTGAGCCCCGTGGGCACGCGCAATACGCTCTCTCTGAACCAGTAGGAAAAAAAATTGGAAACCCACCACTGTCCATCCCTGGAGGTTTGTAAGAAGAGATTGGACAGCCATTTTCTGGAATGGTATAGGGCCGTGGTGGCTCACCATTTGGGGCTCCTGTGCCAAAAATTGCACACGCGCCAGTGCGCCTGCACTCACGTGCCAGCACACAGAATGCATTGCGTGCCCCCCTCCCCCCTCCCCTTGCGCATGTGCACGCAATCCCCCCACCACCACCACCTTACCTGCACTGCGCCTCACAGCTGAATTTTTTGGCTGGTTTGAGGTCTTTTTCAGCCTCCCAGAAGCTTGGAAAAAGCCTCTGCAAGGCTTTTCAAGCCGAATTACAGACCCGTTTTGCCACTTCCGGTATTACAGGAATTGATGAAACGGGCCTATAATTCGGTCTGAGAAGCCTTGCAGAGGCTTTTTCCAAGCCTCTGGGAAGGCCAAAAAAGACCTCAAACCAACCCCTACCCCCCAAAAAAAATCAGCTGTGAGGCAACCACATGCGTAGTGAGGTAAGTTTGCCTGCGGCTCGCGTGCCAGCACAAATGGCTCTGCATGTCACTTGTGGCACGCATACCATAGGTTCGCCATCACAGGTATAGGGGCTCCTGCTTGGGCATGGGATTGGACTGGAGGACCTCTACGGTGCCGTGCAATTCTTATTCTGTTATTCTTCTTATGTTCATGTGTAACCACCCCATCAGGCCCAAAGAAAGTCCAAAATGGTATAGGCTTTCCTGCTGTGGGCAGAGGTTGAGCTAGGAGGTCCCTTCTAACCCTATTATTCCATGTTCTAAAAGCAACTTTTATTTTAACAGCTATAAGGATTAGCTTCTAGAGCTGGGGCTACACTGGGAAAAAGTTTGGAAACCCACCACTGTCCATCCCTGGAGTTTTTTAAGAAGAGATTGGACAACCATTTGTCTGGAATGGTATAGGGTCTCCAACTTGAACAGGGGTTTGGACCAGGAGACCTCTAAGGCAGGGATCCCCAACCCCTCGTCATGACCGGTACCTGTCCGTGGCATGCCAGAAACCGGGACACGCAAACAAGCCCCATCTGTGGGA